AAATACTGGATAACTGTCACGTAAGATAAGCAGCAGAAATGCTGTGCCCAAGGAGTTCTGTGTAAACGCTTCTGAAAGTGCTTAAACCAAACATTTTTTGGTTTTGATACAGGAAATGACAATGAGACGCACAAGCAAGCGGAACAAGTGTAAGCTGCCAACTTTTTCTTATTCCTTAACTCTTCACTCTTTCTACCTTGTTGCAGTAGGTCAAAACCGCTTTTAGTCAGCAGTGGCTGTTGGCATTTGCAGAGCTGCATTATTATTTGGAATAACGTGGATGTGAAAGGGTTTCAAAGGCAAATTGCTCATTGAGCAAACTAGGAGTGGTTGGGGAGACATCCCTTCTGCTGCACAGCAATGTAGGACAGGAAATACTAGTGAATTTTGCTTAAATTTTAGTAAAACTGTTCTGTCTCAACACGTAGTTGAATCACTTTAAAATGTACTTCATATCACTGAGGGGGAAAGTATCTGTAACTGAATGGGAACACACATAAAAGTCAAAGTAATTTTCAGACTACTTTCATTAAGCGAAATAATGTGTAAGGTTTTATAACGGTTAGTGAGAACGCCAACAGGGAGCACTCAAACTTGCAAAGAAATTTCATTGTGTTAAAGGATAGATAAAAGTTGAACTTCTGGATTTTTTTTTATTAATAAGCCACAAAGCTTCCGCACATTTTGACCTTCACAAACTAAGACTTTGTTTATCCGTGTTGATGTCCACTTCCCTGCGTGCTGTAGATACCTGTCAAGCTTTAAGAACGTGGTAGATGATCCGCTTTGGTACTGCGCTCAGTCTTGATAAACCAGACCTTTCGTCAGAGATTCTGTCCTTCCTAGTTAGAATAATTTTAGGAGCCCGTTCTTGCTTCTGCAGCGGAGCAGTTTGGAAACCTGCATGACGTGTTAGCAAGACATTAAAGAGGTGTCAGAAGGTAGTGGTGACCTTTTGTGCTACGTCCTGTTGACTTTTGGTCATTGTGAGACAGTTCTCAAAGACGTAAAAGCGAAGTTACTACACTGACCAACAGCATTTTCACTTTTTATAGTGAATTTCGAGTGGTAATTTTACTTGCATATATGTTCTGCTCAAATATATAGAATGTTTCTTGTCCTCCTTCTAAAAAGCTTTGTTCTAAACACAGTTCTAACCGAGATGGCTAGAGAAGTTCTAAGCAAAGCAGATGTTGGTTGACAGAGGCAGTATTTTATATGAGAATATGTTTTTCTTAGAAGCATCCCTGTATTGGATCAAATAATCTAGTTTCAACAACAGCTGCCAGATTAGCATTTCTGGCAAAACTGACCTCATGATTTTGGAATTGGTTTGCAGTTGAGTCCTGTAAGTGGTGCTTATATTTGTCAATGTTTTGCAATGAAATAAGAAGTGGAAAAATATTTCATAGGCACTATTCAGTCCAAATTTGGCTGGATGTAGGAAGCAGAATTGCAACCTAGAGTGCAGATTGGCTGGAGTGGATAAACTGACTGTAACTTGAAGTATCCCTGGGGTAAATCTCATGGGTTTATTTTTTTTAAGAAAATACCATTTTCTGTTTTGCATTGTTAGTGTTAAAATTTTTTAAATGGGAAGAAAAGTAAGGGAACTGTAGCGTGTTAATGTAAAGCAGAGCCCACTGTGAGGTGTTTTCTTGTAAATATATATGTGAATTTGAGTGAAAATAGGAATGGTTGCAGAGTTAGGAGGAATTACACACATTTCCTGTAATGAGTGTGTACTGAAAACATAAGTTAAATGCATCTGTTAGTACCTGAAATTACATAGAAGAAACCTCAAAAGGCAGTAAGAAAGTTTGATTTTAAAATCTCTTACTGCTGTTGGGGATGAAGTTCAAGCACAAGCAGTGGTGCATTTTGAGGTTCCTTTGTGCTGGGCCACACTTGGGAGCTTCAGATGCTTTTTTCCATCCTTCAGGAATGCTTTGCATAGGCCTGAAGTGCTGTATCCTCCTCTTCCCTCCCCCCTCTTCCATCCCTTAACGTCTCACAGTTGCAGAGGAGCGATGAGAGGAGTTAAAGTTCGGGGAAGTCGGGCTGCTTTGTCGATCTGCTTATCTTTTTGTTCTAATTTAGCTGGCAGACAGAGGCTGATGTTTCTTAGTTGGGCGCAGGTGGTTGTTTTTCTGGAGCTGTAACTATGGCAGTAGCTCTAAGTCGCTTCTGGCTTCACCTAACCTTTGTTTCCTTCTGTACTGTGTTTTTTCAGTTCCCTTTTAGGAAGGGGATCGGACTAAGCTGTGCTGTAGGTGTGCTCAAAAGCTTGTGGTGACTGGTTTGTTTTGGTATCATTTTTGCTTGACACGCTCCAGAACAAGTCAGTCCCTGAAGTCAGTTCGCTCTGTTTGCCAGTTTTGCTTTTGCAGAACAGGGGGATACCAGTCTGTTCTTGCTGGGATATTTGGGATGTGATCCTCAACACAACTGCAGCAAAAGTCAACCGTAAAACACTGTTTTTTTTTTTCCTTGACTGATGAGAGTAGGGATATGTTTGGGCACAGAGGTTTTCTCCAACATATTCTGTAATTTGAGCAATTTACTTGCTCTAATTTATTTTTTTTTTAAAAATGGAAAGGTTAAGTATAAAGCTATTTCTACACTTACTTGAACAAGGACCCCTTCCATATAAGGGAGTTGTGTTATGAGGGGAAAAACTGCTCCTTTAAACAGAGGAGGAAGAAAACTCTATCTGTCTAGTAAATGTTGTGTTTGTATTTCTCTTCAGTACGCTGTTGTCGCAAATATATACTGCTGTTGTAGAGGCTGTGCTTGCTGGCATTGAGTGCTATGCTAAAACTTCCACTGAATCCAAGGTAAATGAAGCACCCGTTCTGTACGCTGTGATTGTTGATTTGGATTGCTTGCCATAGAAGATCCCATGCAAACCAAAATTTAAAAAGAAAAAAAAACCCAACTGTTTCAGTCAACTGCGTAACATTAATGAGGTTCATACCGTGGCCTCCAACCAGTCTCTCTGAATTCTGTTTTTTTAAAAAAAGAAATTTCAGAGTGTATGTAATCTTATCCATCTGCAATTGTTTTGCCATTTTCTGTGAGTTTTCCTAACCTTATAGTGAGGAAAATCAGACATGTGAAAGAACAAATTTTAGCCTGGTGCATCAGTGTGTTTCCGTTTAGTGTGTGGTCTCTTGTTTATCTTACGGGTGCTCCTGTAGCTGCTGGGATTCGGAAGTAGGGGAAAAGATATTTTATTCTCAATTTCCTTTTTTCAGGCAAAGGAGGCAGCAGAGCAGACGCTCATGTCTGTGTTAGATACCCTTCACTCAACACAACTTAAAACTGCATTACGGTGCGTATTGTCAGCTATTTATTGACCGATCTGTTGTGTCAATGCGTTACCTTCTTTTGGGAGAAAATATGTCAAATGTTTAATTTTAAACTGAACTTGCATGACTGCCCAATTCCCAGACTTCATAATGCATTCAGACTTTTAAAATCATGATCATTATTCCATTTTTCTTTTCCTGCTTTCTTAATCACTTCAGCAGTTATTTTGCTTTAAATCTATTATTGCCTTTTTTTTTTTACATGTAGAAGAAGTTTAAAACACCTTTTTCATCAGTACAATTTCTGTTCTACAGCTCCAAAATCGCTTTTCAAATTCAGGCTGTGAATAATCATGGAAGGTCTGTATCACTGTCTTATGCTTCTTGTTATTAATTAGTGATTTTAATGCAGTAAAACGTTTCTTTTTCTTGTCTTGGAACTTCTGAGAAAACATTGCATTTGATTATTTCATACAAGACGCTGTTGTGCATGAGAGAGTTTAATGATTTCCTATCTAATTCTGTGGAATCTTAATAACATTTTAAAAAATCTAAAACAACTGGGCAGACCAATTTTATTAACTGCTAATGAGTAGAAGCAGCGTGAGCTCATTAAGAGTTTCCTTTTAAAAAAATGTGCGTTGAACTTAGTTGATATCGCAAGCTTGGGCTTTTTCAATCCCCACGCCGTCTAAATGACTGAAATGGCCTGCACAAATAAGAGTTTATTTTAAAATTAAATAGTTCTTTTGGCTGCTCTGAAGCCACTCAAAATGATCTAACCTTTAAATATCTGATTATTATTATTGTTCTAGAATTACTCCACTAGATAATGAGGATAGCCTGAGTTTGATTAAAACGGTGAGTAAGCTGTTCGGTGTTCTGATTATACATTTTATTAGAAAGTAGAGCTCGAGTGGCTTTTTTTATGAGGCATGCTGAGATTTTTTTATCTTTGTGAGCCCAAATGTAAGGGGAGAGATGAGAGAGATTTCAGATGCTGAAACCGAGGCAGGATTGAGTTTTAACGCGAAGCGAGACAGTGGAATTTGGAATAAAACATTAGAGTTGTGATCTCGGACTTTCCACCGCAACGTAGAAGTGGTGTTTTACGGGGTTTAAAACACACAGATTTTTCTGCTTCAATGGAAATGTTTCAAGTTCTGCTTTCTCTTCCTTTCTGTCCAACTGTTTGATTGCTGTAGGCCTCTATGATGGTATTTGACATTCCAGACTTGCTCACGGGAAGAGGATGCTTGGGATCTGTTGTCTTTTCAGAGTCCTTTCTAACATCACAGATACAAGTGAAAGAAAAAGGTAACTATTTTAAATTCTAACACCCATGTTGGTGGTTGTTCTGTTAGCTTTGGTGCGACGGAAGTAGCAACAGGGCTTCTGATGGATGTTGTTACTATTAACGTTAGGGTTTTAAGCCTTTGGGTTGATTAGAAGACCCAAATGTTTTAGCTTGCTAGATCTTGAGGGTCAAGTTTCTCTAACCTCGCTGAAAGGACTTTGGGTTTTATGGCTGCCTTGTGATACAGCAGGGCTGAGGTGTAACAGTACCCTTCCGAAATTTCTCTTCAGTCTGAGTGAATGTTTTCCGTTGTACGAGGAAATTCGAACGGCTCTCTTCCGTCACTTCTGCAACACCCATTTTACACAATATGTTTTAATTTCAGTTGCTCTTTGCTTGGAAGAGATGTAACAAAACTAGAAGAGGATGTGATTTGTAGAAAGCTTGGGTTTGGAGCAGTCTTACACTTAAAATACAGGTTACTGAGTGATTTCCGTAACCTTAGACAAGTGCGTATTTTCCAGATTGTTTAGATATGACAAAGATAGGTAGTTACTGAGGTTGTCTGAACAATATTTATGGAGTTACTGAGGTTGTCTGAACAATATTTATGGACTCTTGTGTCCGGAAAGGCTGGGGGTTTTTAACCATGGGAGTTGGAACGCTTTTGGTGGGGAGGAGAGCGAAGGAAGAAGCCGTACGCCAAGCCCAGAATAAAAGGAGGGTTTCTTTGGTATCGTGTAGCAGCTCTGTGTATGTTACAGCACAGGACGACTGGGAGCTAGTCTACTGTGAAAGCTTCTCTTAAACACTCAGAAGTCCTTAAAATAATGAGGAAATTGTCGTATTTCCTAAAGAAATTTCAAGTCGTTAAAGTCACTTACTGAACAGTCTGAAGTACATGGATGGTATTATACTGCTTTGCTTTCCATTTACTTCCCTGCAGATGGCAGCATTAATTCAGAAACCAGCCACATAATACTGACTGCGGCTATCCCAAGATACGCTTCTTGGCTGGTTAGTACGCAAAAACTTGTTTGGGTTGTTTTCTAGACGTGCAGATTCACAAAGGAGAACTTGTCATGAAAGTGCAGATGTATGAGGAAAAAGTATGGAACTTGGGCACTGAAACAGAGTATTAGTACATTAATACTCTTTTGGTTTTTGAATTTGGGCATGAAGTGAAAAACTAATAAGTGGAAACAGCCTGATGGTTCCATTCATAACACAAGTTTTAAATGATTTCATTTTCGCCACTTCAGTTTTGTAGCCGTGTAAAGGCCTGGGTGGTTTTCAAGCATGCAGCATCTCTCTTGAAAATTCTGTTGTTGTGGGGCACTTTAGATCCCTTAAATGGCTGTTCCAACAGAAAGAAACGTCTGCTTCCAGACCTCTGATGTACTCCACTGTTAGAGGTGTACTTCCAACGAATGTGATGAGGTTGGACACCATTATGCCCTTGGCAATCTGTACTTCTTAAACACTAACAGTAATAAAAAGTACGACTGACTGGGATACACTACTTTATGTCTATACAACCCTGTTGTAGTCTATAAAACAATTTAATAGGGAGTATCCCCTTGAGTGTCTTCCAAGGAACGATTTCAGTCCCATGGTAACACAGGGTTGAAGAGCACAAAGCTGTCCTTGAAGCACTCTGATCTCAGGACTTTATCTGTGGTACCTAAAGTTCTTGCTGGCCTTGGGTCTTCTTTAATACTAACAATACAAATGGAAACTGTTTCTGGCTACAGGTTGAAGATAGTGATGTGAAACTGTCTGAAAAGGCACAGCACCTATTGAAGGTAAAAGTAAATAGTTTTGTTAAACTATAGAAGTTACACTTCCAAAAAATCTTAGCTGCTAGCAAAACTGGCTTTTATTATGTTTGTTCCTCCTCTTCTGTGAAAGACTTGCCCGTTCTACCCTGTCTTTTTTTCAAATGTTGACCTACAAAAAAAAAGTACATTGTGTGTAAAAGTTTGAGGTTTTCTTTATTTCAAAGAACGGCAAAACCCAAGAACAAATAGAGTTTTAACAAAGCTACGACTTCATGGAAGTCTCGCTAAGTATTACACACGGAGCTCATGTGCTTCAAAAACCCCGAATCTCAGTGCCACTCTACATGCAACTTCCTTTTAACTTAATTAGCATGCTAAATGGCTAAAGGAAAACACTTCAAGCACTATGAAAAAGAAAAGAATTTGGGATCTGGGAACATCGTAAACCACATGAGTTTCACATTTGTGGTTTAATTTGTGGTTACCAGAAATCTTCATTAAAAATAGATTTATTTTCCTGTAATATACTTTTAGTTCAGTAAATTGACAATCAAAAAACAAAAAGCTATGCCTTGTGGTTGTGACGATAACTTGTAACTTAATAGCTGCTGTCAAAACCAAAATGGGGGGAAATGCCTTTCAAAATTATACTGTTGACATCCTGTCTTTCGCTGCTCCTGTATCAAAGCAGTTTAAAAGTTTATCAAAAGTTCTGACAGATGCTGTTTAAAAAAAAAAAAACCCCTTTTCTCTTTTGAAATGAGAAATGAATGAGAAAATATTCTTGCCTGGATTACAGTCCTTGATCCAGTCTGTGACGCTAGTCTTTCTTTTTCCCGTTTAGGAGGACAAATCTTTTCTGGGCACTTTACTCACTGGAGGCGACGGAGCGTATATTTATTCTAGCAATCCCCAGGCCATGCCTGCAGAAGGTGAGATGTGGGGTTTTTTTGATTGCTTATACAGTTCATCCACTTTTTCTTGGTTTTTTGTTTCTTTTTATTTTGTGGGTTTTTTTTTTTTTTACGACAAGAGAGAAGCACAGTTTCTGGGACTGGCAGATCTACCGATACCATCGTCTTAAGCTTTCTTTCCATTTGCTTTTACAGCTCTCTCTTGTTCAGTTCCATGTCTTACTTTGTCCCCCCAGCCTCTGCTTGAAACTCCTAGTCCTAGGAGGAGGAGTCCTGTCAGAGCCCTAGGCTCGCTTTTGAGGCACGTGTGACTCATGTGATTGGCAATGAGGCTTTGCAGACCTGGGAGGTGGCTTTTTCCCATAGTTAACGTTCAAAGTCTTGCACAGACTGGCTGCTTCTGGCCTTACTAGAGGACGTGCCATGGATTTTCTGCCTTTCTGCATCTATACGAACACTAGGTTGGAAAGATTGGGCGTTACAGTAGCAGCAGGGTGCCATGGGCTCCCAGCTCAAGAAGTGAAGGCAAATATGTGCCTTCTGGGCAGTGTGACTCGTTGCTTGGGATGTAGGATGGGATTAGAACGATTTGCTTCGACGGCCTTGTGTTCTTTGCTCCTACCGAAGCCTCCTCCTGGAGCTGACGTGCTGTTCTGTTTTTTTTTTTTTCCATTGTCATTGTCACTCAGACTTCAGTGCTTGTTAGCACAGATGCTCACTGTATTACAGAAAGATGCCCAGTCTTGGTTCTTTCCAGATTCAATCAAGTTACTGCTTTCTGAAACGAGATTACTAGCAACAGTCTTCAATCATTCCTCCTCTTTTTGTGCCTTTCCCTTCAAGAACCTAAGCGCATGAATATCCCAGTAATAGAACTAAAGACAATTTGGGAGGGGTTTCCCTCACTCTACAGCCTTGCATTAATGAGCTTTTCTTTGCCTTGAACCGATAGATAGTTCTTAAGGCATGATATGTTTATATTCCACTGCACAGAGGAGGTACTGTTGTCACAGGACCGACGTACAACAGATGATAACGAGTATCTGACATCTATGTGCTTAGTGTAAGCTGACAATCTTTAGAGGGAAATCTTTAGCTTTATTGGTTTTGCCGTCGTGCAAGGTGGTGTTGAGGATTAATAATGATGTACAAGGCAATTAAACAGCAACCTTCACATAGCGGAATTTGCTTTTTCCCTAATTGAATGCGTTTTAAAGGAAGAAGGTTAATGCAGAATAACATGTTTGGCTGTTTTGCAATATAGTGCTGAGGGCACCTGATCACTCAGTAAATAACTAGAGAAAGGTGATTTTTTTTTTTTTTTTTTTAAAAAATTGATTTTTTTGGCTCTGAAAATGGGCTGTGTGCGCCCCAGTGGAACAATTCACTTTTTTCCCTTTTTTGGGGAGATACTGTAAAGTTAAATGTTTTGATAACTCTTGGGATGGAGAGGTATAAGTAGGTGGTATAAGGACTATTATGTAACACTTCAGCGAGCGAGATATTTCCTTAGGTGTCAAGTGAAAATGAACTTGATCTCGTTCCCTTTCATGTATGCTGCAAGACAGTTTGCTGTGCTCTAATTTGGGCTCCACTGAGGTTGCAGCTATGTGCCTGGCAAGATTAGGTGCAAAAGGTGCTGTCAGTCACTCAGCTTCTCTCTGTCACTTGTGTCTTGCTGTAATAAGGTACACATTCGTGACGAAAATGCATCAGAAAACTTCAGACTGTTAAACCTTTTCCTTTGTATGCTAATACATCTGCTGTCTTACGGGTTTTTGTAGGGCGAACTTAACTGAGTCAGTCAGTCTTGCCAATTGAACTCTCTTTTGTGATTAATCACTTGTGGAAAATAGACAAGTGGTATATCAAGTTGTCCTTGATATAATTCGTTGACTTCCATGGTAAAGGAAGCTGGTTTAGTTTGGATTAATACATACTCTTTTTGGCTTGCTTTTCTGTTACAAAAGAATTAACATCTCTGCCTTCTTTTCCCCACTGACACTTTCTCTGTGAAGTGAGATGTTCTGTGAGATTTGCCAGAAATGTACTTCAGGTGGGTTATTTTATAGAAGGCACATACCTGTGCTGTGCCTTGGATTCGGTGAGCGCTGGAAGCATCGGCAAGGAACGTCTCATGTGTGTGAACTGTTAAACCTCCACATCCCTGTGATTGTGTGTGGCTTTGTCTGCGTTCTACTTGCTCTGAATTTGGAGCTTGAGTTTGTGGTTTCCCAATTTGATAGGAGCTGTCTCTCCAGTCCAATTTTTATGTTAATAGAAGCTTCAGTCTACACCAGTTAGATTCGCAGTGAGCAGAGCCTGTATGGTTTTTAGGGAACTGTTGAAATCGTGTATCTACGTGTGGAGATTTGATTTCGTATCGAGCTCTTTTTTAATTAAAATGAAGGCTTAATACTGAATAATTCTGAAGATCTTATTCTAAGTTGCCATTTCAAGAGGAGAACGTCTTTGTTTATTATTTCTTCCGAGCATTGTTTGATAGATGGAGCTAGATGTGCCGTTGTGTTTAGCTGTGTGTTTTAGTTACTTTGCTGCTTGGCTTGGCTTTTTTTTGAAATGAGTAATGCCTTTTTTTTTCCTTTTGTTTCCCCCCCCCCCCCTTAAAGAAAATATTTAACCTTTCCCTTTTGCTGACTCACATGCTTCCCTGGATGAGCTGTGATCCTGCTTTTGATGCCTGGTCCAGCACTGGTAGCAGAGGTCCAGCTGGCAGCCCCTGCATAGCCATTTGTTCATGGCTTTCTGACGACGGTCGGAAATGAGCTCTTTGCAGTTTCTAGCGCTTTGGTGGAATGTTGTTTTTAGCCGTTATCCATCTAGCCTTGCTGTTTCTCATTTTCCAGCTGCTTTCCTTGGTCATGCAGGTTTGTTAAGAACCAAAGTGTCTGTAAGATGGCAAGAAGAACGGCAGGAGAATGAATGCCGTGTCTTTCTTGGCTGTCACTAGACTGGTAGCTTCCAGGGAAATTGCTAGCCCAGTAGCGGTTGTCTCTCTATGCAAAAGAAAATGCAAGTCTGCTGGTAAAGGGCTTTTCGGTTTGAAACTTGGTCTTGGTTAGGAAGTGAAAGGAAAACTGTCGTTTGTTTTGGGTGGTTTGGGTTTTTTTACTGTCTGCGTCGTACGTGTTGGTATAACGACATTTTGCTGAAAATCTGACCGACTTGTTAAAACGTTAAAATTTTCGGTTGGTTTGGATATAAGTTTTTCCGAAGTTCTTGTTTTGTCAGTTTTACATTTCTGGAAGTTTGCAGTTCAACATGATGGGGAATTTTTTTGTCTTTCAGAAAAACTCTTTTTTTTTTCCCTAGAAACCACTTACTGTAAATGTTATGTGGCTTTTAAGTCAAATGCAGTCATAGTTGATGATTCCTGCCCGTGCTGAACGCTGCCTAGATGCTATTCTAAATCTCTACCGATAAGTACTGCATGTTAAGTATATCAGAATTCTGCAGGAACATAGATTTCTTCCTCAGGAAGAAGAGGCGTTTGTCACGTGATGCTGAAATATTGGTATATACTCAATGCAATTTTTTTTTTTCCTTTCAAATTCTAGGCAAGTTGTACTTCTTCTCAGATGGCATTCTCTTTTCTGATCCCCACCATGGCAGCATTTCCATTTCAAAGAACCATATGAGTTCCATTTCTCTCTATGATGGCGTGAGTATTTTGTTTGTGGCTACTGTCAAGAAGTTTTTGTCAGTTTTTAACGATACTTCCGTAGGGTACGAGTACAAAGTTTGGATTTCAGTTGCGGTGTAAGTCTGTGTGTAAAACGGTAATAGCTGGTGCAAATCTCTACACTGTAGGTATCGGTTAGCTTAATCAATTAGTGATCAGCTAAACTGTAAGGGGGAGAGAATTTTGTATTGGACTGAGTTATCAATGTGATCTTAATACTGTGGAAAATTGCTTTTTTTTAAAAGAAAAATTGCAGAACGCAGTATTCACAAAACATCTAGCAGTCTTAAGTGGTGGACAGGGAAAAGTTCAAGGCGTTGTGAAGTCATGTGGTGTATTGGAGGGGGGAAACGCTGCCTTCTCTTCAAAATATATTTAACCTTCAGTCAAATGTTCGTGGCAGTGTACTGCTTATCTCTGGAGATGTCACGAGCAGCGTCTGTCTACTGTCGCAGGGCGTTGTGTAACTGACAGGGCGAAGGGAATGACTGGTTCGTGTTTCCCAAGCTGAGGAGCGAGAAGGAAAGGCATATTGCATGTAATTACACATATTCTGGGTAATTACAGTAGAAGACACAATGTTAGGCGTTGACTGTTTCCATTCCTGTGATCAACTTCTGTCGCTTCACTCGGCCGGCTTGCCCCACTAACAGTTTGGTCTCCTGGCTCGGTGGGAGTGGAGAGTTAGGTTAATGCTGGCAGCTCAGCTTTCTGTTTCTCTTCAAGGCAGACACGCTGGGTTAACTATCGCTTTTTCAGAATGGAAAAGAGATTATTTTGGCTCTTTATTGTTTCCTAAGCACTGAAGAAAACCACCAAACCTCTGTTTCCTTTAGTTTCTATTTTCTTCAGGTACAGTATTCCACATGTGTTCAGTGACCTCCAGAAAGCATTGTGTTGCTATGATTTCATCATCTAATGGAGGAAACCAGTAAAATACAATAAAAGTGTGTGATTCAATTGAGGTGAAAACACAGCAGTGAAGAGAATCTTACCTTAGCTGCCTTTTCTTGTATATCGTATTGATTGCCCCTTGGTAGTTTAAGAAGCTATTTTAACACTGACCTTCCTTCTATTGTTTGATTCAAGACACTCACTTTCATAAAACTAGCTATTTATGGGACCTGGCTATCATTCTTGAACTGATGCCAGATTTTTGTGTAAAGCTAAACCTTGACAGCATTTTATTGTTCAACTGACTTGGCATAATACAAGGGTGGAGAGCTCAAAACGTTAAGAAGTGACAGGAGAAGAAGGGTAATTGTTAATGTGTTTTTTCCAGAAGTTATTACAACAACAGTATTGATGGAAAAGAAAGGATAGTTTAATGAAAGGATTAAAATAAAAGATGGAAGGACTTCAAGTGATGCAAAGTACAGGTTCTTAGCAGCTCTGTCACCATGCCTGCTAGATGCTTCTCTCTTCAACTTGAAAATCTCTGCACTTCTGCCTCTGGGATGTGCTGCAGGCTCCGGTATTCTGAGATGCTGGGCACCTAGCTACCACTTAAGCCCCTGAAGTTTTTGGGGCTTGTAGACATGGACTGCGTGGAGGACAGGGTGGATTCCTCACAAAACTGTACCATGAAGGTTTAAAGCAGAAACCATCCCAGTTTTAGCAGAGTCAAGCATAAAACTCCCATCTCGAAAGGCAGCATTATTCTAGCTCAGTACCAGCTGTTCTGGGAGTAAAAGAAAACGCAACAGACTGCACTGCCACCCAGTCTCCAAACCCCCGTGATTACTTCTTTTTCTTCTGTGGCTGTTCAGTGTCTCAAACTGTACCAAGGCATCTTTACTGTATGGAGCCTAAGAGGCTGTGTGCTTGGTTTAAAGGTCTTATTTAAGACTGAGTATTTCAGCTTGTAAGTGCCTGAATCTAGCCTTCATTTTGGCCATCAATCAAGTAAACCAATATCACTAAGTAATACTTAGATTTCGCAACAACATTGATGTCTTGTACAACTTCGAACTGGATTCTTTTAACCTAATATCTGTGGGGATTATTGCTGCTTCTTTTCAGCTTTTCTCAATTTGTAGAACAACCCTAAACATTTTCCAGGGGGAGGAGCACAGGCTCTTGGACACTTCTCGTGCAGATTGCAGCATGTATAAGTTGGCCTTCTAGTCTCTTCTCATGAAATCTGTATCCTGCAGAATCCAGGATCTGTGGACCATGTTCCAAAAGCCATTTTCTCTTAAGAGAAACTGTTCTCTCTCAGGAGAACGTTTTTGTTTGTTCCTCAGTAACCTCAATGACTTTGAGAGGATTACTTTTATAATTAATCCCTCAGTCAGCAAAGCACAGAGATTCTGTTTGCAGATGTCTCTGAATTGATACAGATTCTTATGTGTTTCCCAACTTGAGCTTTTTCATCTTGAAAATTAGTAAGCAGAGTTTTGCCCACTTCTCCTGGTCAAAGGGAGATGGATGCTAACTGATTTGTCATTGGAACCCTAAGTAATGGAATCCCCATTTTCCAGGGATGTTTCACGCTGCTGAATTGTACTGTTTTTCTCATGCTTTGGTGTGGAAACACTTACAAATCAAAGCTTGAGCAGAAAGCACTTCAGCGTCCTGCCAAGTTGTACGTAAATGCCTATCTTGAAATCCAGAAAACCGAGGGTTGGTGTTGTTTTATTAGAACAAAAATCGGACAACCTGAGTTCGGTGCTTCTGAGGGAGACCAGCCTTGAGGGCTTCAGCTTCCTGTTGGTGAAGACACAATTCAGGTGAAGAAGCAATAGATTCAGTGGAACTTGTGCTCGTTAAAGGATCGGAGACAAACAGGACGCTTCCAACACGCAAGTGACCTACGCTTTAAGTTGCAGGCCTGACAGTGGTATCTCGTTGCAGCACGGTTCCTTTCAGGTCAGAAACTCAAGAGCGTGGTATAAAAAAGTTTCCAAGAGCACCATGCCATCCTTCTTATCTTTTTTAGCTGACACTTAATTCATTCTTCCAGAGTATCTGTGTCACCAGAGATGTGTGGATATAGATGAAGGTGGCTTTGTTGTGAAGCATGAGCGGAGGAAAGGGCTAAAGGTCCGGTTTTTGGTGCAGGGAGAAGAGCAGATATTAAAATGCTTAGGTGCTTAGAAGAATCTCAGGTGCTTTCTTTCAAGCTTGTGATATCTCTCGCAGCTGCAGAGTAGGAACTGAGAAGCGCTGTAAGTGATCCTTCTGCTCTGTGTCGGCTCTGTGCAAAGCTAATGAATGTTCAGATCTTTGGGCGTGCCTAGCTGTGACATAATAGTTCTCTTCTGATCTCTATTTAATATATTAAGCCTTTCTTTCACTGTCAGTAACTGTTAATTTGTTCTGTTTCTTCCTTTTCTAGGATTCAACCAGTATTGTTGCTGCTCTCTTCATAGACATCAAAAGTTCCTTGCTTGCCCATCTACCAATTGAATTCCATACCCGAGACAACTTCTTGATGATTGCACTTTTCCCCAAAACAAAGATTTATAAAGCTTTTTATTCGCAGGTAAAGTAAAAAAGAGATTGGTTTGGGGGTGGGGGGGGGGAAGCACACAATTATTCTTTGTGTTTCAAGTGAGAGGCAAGGGTCAATTTGTTAATGTCTGTCTGAACTAATTAAATTTGGAAGGAAGAGGGGGTTATTTCTCATGGTAGTTTAGCCATTAAAGCTTGTCACCTGATCAGTAAATACAGGAAAGGTTGAAGTTCAAGGTTGTTCTTGCATCAGTCTTCCCAAGTGAAACCCTTCCCTGTGTCTCAGTGAACAAGCACAGTTTAGAAAGGAGAAGGGGCGGTTAACGCTGAGGGAGCAAGTTAAGAAATACATTGAAAACCTCCTCTGTGAAACTGGATGGGATTCGGGGAAGGTATTGAGAGAGATGGCTGATGGGATTGAGGCTGCTTATGTAAAATTTTGTGTAAAAATGTATGTAAAATTTTTATGGAAAATCAGGGGGCTGCAGCAGGGAGGACTGTCACAGACAGCTCTCTCGGTAGCGGCAGGTAACAAGGGGCAGTAACCGTAGTTTGCTGCTTCGAAGAGGCAAACTGAATGTTAGGAGGAGGTTGGTGCAGTGACCGGAACGGGTCACCCGGACAGTGTATCTCCACTTTTGAAGACTTCAAAAACTTGGCCAGGCAAGGTCATGGCCGAGCTGATCTGTACTGCCCGCAACAGTCCTCCTCGGAGCAGGAGGTGGGTCTGGAGACCTCCAGAGGCTCTCCCGCGACCCGAAACGGATCCTCTGGGTGACCTTTGGCATCTGCCTCGCAGACAGGATTGCCATGGACTGCCCTGCTGTGTAGACCTTCCCAGGAACGTTACTGCTCCCGATCTTAGGAACTGTGTGAGAAACTTTGACTTACATCTGCATTTCTAGCGATTGTGTCGCTCGTTAAGTTTAACGCTCGCCATGTGCCTTCGTTTTGTCTTCTGAAGCCAGCGAGTGCTCTAAAAGCTTGTTTTCTAGTAGTTGCATTTTAAATGTAGCACTGGTGTATAATTGGCTGCAGCAATTGTGTGTAGTGGCAGAGGTTCTATTGTGGGGGTGTTTTTTGTGGTTAGACACATTTGGATCGTGATCCTGAGGGAAGTTTTGTTAAAGTCTTTAAGTATCCCATATGGCATTGTATTATTCTCTGAAGTAGATGGGCTTCGTGCATTGTAACGCAGAGGCTTTTAATAAACGGAGCTTTATAACAATAGCACTTTTGAGGAAATGAGCCTGGAGATGTTAGGACTTCACAAGGGTTTTAGTGTGTGATCCCAACACTGGACTGGAAAAGACCACCTAGCTCAGTGAGTAGTCCCCACTGGTTGTATTAATGTTACCATAAAATTTCTCCTCCTTTTTTTTTCCCTTAAGTGTTTAGATTCCTCCCACTGTTCCGCTGTGTGAGTGGTGGGGAAGATTTTGTTTGATTGGTTTTGAATTTTCAGCCTATTTTATTTGTGTGTCTGTTTTTTACCTTTGCTCTACCAGCAGACATCCTTGAGGTATTTGGAAATTTCGGACCTATTCTTTCTGGCTTATTTGGCCTAATAAAATAAAAGCAGATTGTTTTTAATCTATGCTTATAAAAAGTTCTTTTCCTCTGATAGTTGTAATACTTTTCTTTTTTTGGCTGTAGATATCCAAACTGTGTGTAGTATCTGAGATAAGAGTGTTTGTTTCTTGTATAGAGGCAATAATAGTTCTCTCTTCTGAAAATGTTCAGAGCTACACTTGGCTTGCCTTTAGTTTTCGCTGCTGCCTTGAATTAATAGATTGTGCTCATTTTTTTGAGAAACTCGCTCAGGTCCTTAATCTTTTGCTACCCATTGATACTCCAGCTGATTCTAGAAATGTTTGTGTGCTCGTTCTTGCTTTCATGCTTACCTTCCTCCTCTTTTTCTTCCTGATTCTTCCATTCTTGCAGTTAGATCTATTTCTCTGTGAAGCACCTCAATGCTGTGTAGGCTGTCTCCCAACTTAGTTCCCCCCAAATGCTGTCACTTCAATCTGTGCCAGATTGATTGCAAAGCGTGTCACGGGGCATTCTCTAAGCAACTCTGCTGGTGAATGCCCCCAGCCTTCTGCTGCTTTTTTTTTTTTTGGGCGCTATTTATTCTGGTCCTCCTCTGAGTTAGCTTTTTGCCCCACAGTTCCATGCTGAGTTTCATTTTCTGCAGCACCACACCAGTTGCTTTGCTCAAGTTCAAGTGGGCGAAACATGTCTTTTGTCTTGAAGATGTTATCTCCTGAACGAAAACTATTCCTAAGATCAAGCGTACCTGATTGTGTAAGCCATCGAAAGATATTACTGTATTTTGGTAGCGTATTCCTTCAGGTATCTATTGATTTCTTCCAAATTTCTTTCCGCAAGTCTGCGTGCCAGTGAAGTCGCACGGACGTAGCAGTCATTCTACAGATCTCTACTTAACAAAGAATCACTAAAACGTGGGCCTTAGTTTTACTCTTCCGCAATCCTACGGCATGATACCTCGCTTACTGGGCCCCTGCTTTAATTATGCCAAGCCTCCTGGAATCGGGGAATGGCAGTTTCCCCTTCCTCCAGATCTGAGCGTATGAAATTCTTTGTAACTGAGACAGTTGCAAGATTTTGAGCGCACAGAACTGGAATCTGGTTTTCAGATCCTTTCGCATCCTCACCCCAATTGGTAGGGGAGGAAAGTGGGCTGAGGCTTTGGGACGTACTGATTTCTCTGGTTTTCTTCACCTTCTCTAATGCCATAGCAGTCTTTTTTTTAAGTTTTCGTTAAGTTGTACAGAAAGGGCTGATTTATTTCCATTGAGTTCTGTCTCAGTCTGACCTGTGTTTTCACTTTATCCCTAGCCCTTTGACTTCTAAAGAATACAATTTTCTCTTGACCAGTCCTTCTTTCCATCCCTTGTAGGCATTTTCCTTAGTCGCTTATACATGTTTTGAAGTGGTTCTTTGGTTGCGTGGATCCTTCTACACAAGCAATATTGTCTTTGTTAATATCAAAAGTTTATTCTATTTTGATGTTTTTTATCTCAGTACCATTGTGTTTAGGATGCCAATTTGTTAATGGAAAGCAGTCTTTCCTCCCCCGTTGTTTTGTCTTGCAGCAAATTATTGTGAAAAATGACAATGGCTGTTGCCTTTACTTATTAAAAGAAGGGAAATACCGAGCACTTAAATGACTGTGTGATTCATCTGAATCTGATTTCTAGGTTCAGAGTGCCATTCATATTAATGCGACTTGGCTAGAGCCGTATAGGATGTGAGCCAAAACACCGTTCCCTAGAGAAACGAAGGGCTCCTTTTTCTTCTGCAAAGCAACAGAATTTTTCTTCAATTTGTAGAAACGATTGCTGCAATCTTACCTCATGAAAATTTCAGTACTACTTAAAGGAAACTTAGATTAATTCAGTTCCTGCTGTGCTGTAGTTGAACTAGAAATACCTAGCATTTTTATCAGTGAAACATGCTATGACTAAAAGATACACACGAACGGGTACTTTGGTGGGTAAACTTTTTTCCCTAGGATTTTTTCCCCAGCTATGAAGATAGGGAAAAAAATAGACTGTTTCTGAAAAGTTACTTCCTAAAGCAGTTCCAGTCTAGCCGAAGAGAAGCTTACAAAATCTGGTCTGTGGAGACTTCTTCCATATTTTCAATTCTTGCAGCTACACCAGTATTGTGAAATACTGAATGGCTAGTTAAAACGTGTGTATTTCTTTTGGAGATGAACAAAACCGACTCCTAAACAAATTTTAAAACAAATTTAAAACAATTTTTGCAAAATAGTGGTGCTTATGCATAGGTCTGATTTGTGTGTTTTTTTTTTTTCCAGGTTTTCTCTTCATGGAAAAAACAGACAAACTCAGGATTATCTTTAAGGGTTGTCCAGGAAGAGTTCCTGTCTGTGGAACAAAAGAGACTGTAAGTTTATGCCGCTTTCTCCAGTGCGATTGTGCGTTCACTGTGTGCTACAGTCAGAAAAATCCTGTCACTCATCGAAGATTTTGATGATGATTCAAAAAGGAATTGTTGCATTCTTAGTGCAACGCTCGCTTTGTTTTGTGTTGTACCAGTTAATGTGTAGCCATCTGATTTAAAGATCAATTTCTGGGTTTCCCCTTTAACTAACCAATTCATTAATTTGCTTGGTGTAGGCATTCCAGTGTTCAGAAGCTATTTAATGCCCTGTCTTTTCCTTCTGGGGAAAGATGCAGAGAGCTGAAAATATCTGCTGCCCTTCCAGAATTAGAGAGGTGAGAAATTGGTTTCGTTTTCAAGGGATCGGTTTTGTCAGAAATAATACAAAAATATTTTGGTATATGTAATACTCATCTAAAAATTGCTTATTTAATAACTCCGTCTTCGCACTAGATATTTTTATTCTGAGATGAATTATTTCCTCTCTAGGAAGCCTCTGTTTTGACCTTTTAACAACCTTATTTTAGTAGTTTCCCCGACTATGTGTATGAATGAAGTATTTTGGTCTTGATTCTAAGAAAATAAAACTTTTATTTTTGAAAGGTTTGTGCAGCATTTTACAGTCAGCAGCGTCAGTCATGAGCCAATAATGAGAGCACATCTTCCTGTTTTATTGCAACAGTCAGAAGTCATTCCTGATTGCAAAGCAGAAAGTGATAAGGTAAGGAAACGACCTGACAATACTTCCTATCTCTAGAACAGAATATTTGGCAAATATTCTGTCTGTCATGGTTTCTGTTGCAGGTGTAGTACAGTGCTGAGGTATGTTTAGCCATGCTCTCTGCCTCCTTCTCCAGTGCCACCGCTTCACACTGAACTTGTTTCAAGCCTATTTCTTAGAATAAATTGCTTTGCCCTGTTTTCCTGATTACATTACTTAAATCTTCCTCCTTTAAACAATCTCTTGGAAGTGCTAATGGCCCTTCAGCCTGATAAAATAGAGGCAGAAAATTAGGCGTAGATCTTCAAGTGAACAGTTTTCTCTAATGTCCAGAGAGCGTGAGCCCTAAAGCAGTAGCTTGTTTTTATGAATTGCTGAATAATTTAGCTGAATTGTTCACTGGAACATAAAAGTCCTTTAAATAGCATAGAGGTAGCACATGATATTTAACATTTGCTGATATTATCTGTAGAACACTCGGTTCTCTATAGGGGCAATAGCAATTGTCAGCCTTAAGGAGTGCTTTTGAATGGCATTTTCAGAGAAAATATTTCCTTGTAACTTACCAGCATTTGAAATCCGCTGTGAGCAAGAAAGTCAAAGCAGCAGCGATATTCTCTTCATCTTGGAATATTGCAGTGTGGTGGCAGACTTATTTCCTGGGCTCTAGTTCAGGGGCCGTACTGACGCTTGTTACTATTCATTAATACGCCGGTATTATGAAGGTAACAACCTTATGAATGTTTTTAGATCTAATTTTAAGGTTGGTTTAACTGTCTTTGTGTATGTTTAAAAAAGAGAAAAATCTCATTACAAAGTTCATACCAAATTCTATAAAACATGGAAAGTAGTACCTCTGATTTTTCTGAGTTACTTCTCCATATCTGTTACCATTTTCTCGGTTTCTGTGAGCATCCGAAAATGAATTTGAGGATAGGGTACAAACAGTCTGCAGATGACGATCTCCAGCTATCATGTGGCTAGGAACTGGGCTTTTTTGTCCGTTGGTAGGGGGATGACATGCAGTGTGATTTCTGGTTACCAGGGTGACATAATTTAAGGCAAATTCAGCACAGATTGTTGTTCTAGTCGGGTTTCCTCCACAGCTCGTTGGGTACTTCTGTAGCACCCTCTGGTATATAGTACAGAAATATATGTACACGTACAAACGCTTGGAGATACGCCCTGACTGCCTTTCAGTGCTGCTTTGCTACGATCCCTGTCCAAATACCACAAGAAATACACTTAATGGGAACAGGTGCTTTATGCAGAAAAGCTGTTGGTGTGTTAGAGCTGTTCTTGTCCAGCCTCTTACCAATCCTACCCAAAATACAGCTTTGCTGGAATAAATGGTGTGTGCTGCATGCTGGGTTCGGGGTCAGAAACCTGGAGTTGCTCTTTGTGTTTAAGACTGACACACGCTGTCCCTTTTGGAAGCGTTTTGCCCAAGTGCTGTTCTGTGTGTTTGAATGTCCCCTTTTCCTCATAGGAAACATCAGCTCTTTGGTGCCTCTCCAGCAGTGTTTTGGCTGTCCCTTGCGTTAATAATTACACTGCAGACTAGATTTTAATGTAAAGGTTTTGTGATACTGTTTGCTGTATTTGTTAATTAGCCTTTCGCTGTATTTAAGGTATGAAAACCAAGAGAAAACTCGCCTTTCAGAAATCATGCCTATCTGAGTAATTGCATAAACACAATTACGGTTCTACACTGTGGTGCTGTTTCTGTGGTTAGGGTCACTTAATTCTGCGTTTAGACTTAAGTTTTTATCAAGATAGAAGCCTTCATGTGCGCGATTGTTGTAGCTCCTTTCTAGTCTTCAAGTTACCCCCCTTCTTGCCTGTTCCCTGTGTTTCAGGTGGTTATCACCGTGATAACTGGTCTGCCGGGATGTCGTTGCAGCGATCTCTGCGCTTTCCTGGTGACTTTTAACAAGGAGCACGGCAGGTTCGTACGGTTCTGGTTTTGCAGGGGTCATACTAACCACCGGGGAACTACTCAGCCTGAAGAAAGCAAAGCTATCAGTGTTCCACTGAATTTATTTGTTTACTTATATCCCAGTTTCTAATTGGTAGACAGGTCTGTTATGAGAATAAATTCAGTAAATATTATGATGCACCTTAACGAGCTGTACACAGCATGCTGTAAGGTGGGGCACATTACTTCAGTTCTGTTCCTTCATTTAACTGTGTTATGCCAGGTAGCTTTGCCCTTCGATTTTAGACAAGAAAAATAGAGCAGGAGATTTCTTTCTTGATGTTCCATATTAAGAATAGCACAGGTATCACTGTGGATCTACGACGTGTGTCTGGAACTGTCACTGATGCTGCAAACGTTCAAGAAAAATCTTAGAAGGGCCACATGAATCCTGCCTTAAGCAAGTATGGAAGTTGTCACAACTTGAAGAGCTTCCCTTTATTGACATGTAGTGAGTCTAAAATGCATTTTTCTAGGAGAAAAGACTATACTAACAGTCCTTGCTGCAGCATTGTTTTTAATCTGACCTGATACCTGCTCTACAATACGAGGACAGAGATTCAGGACATCTATTGTGTGACAATAAGAGAAATCTACTGTAGGAATTTGTCATTCTGTGTGTTGATACAGCGTCTGGAAAGTCAAAAAAAATAAATTATTATCCTTTTAAATCTTACAGCCAAAACACCTTAGCATTTAGTCTTAGCGATGTTCTGGGCTGATTCTTTTTTCTATTATTTTAACTCAGTGTATTGATATTAGCGAGTTGATTTACAACAGTTTTGTGGTTCCATTTTTAGGGCAAACGTGTAAGGTGACTTTTGATTCTTCTGTCATAATACATTTCATCATGTTTTCCTGCAAATATCGTTACTTTTTATTTTTGCAGTGAAATGTTTTCATGCCCAGAGTCTTTTGAATTGGATGCATTTAACTTTTGCTTACTGCATCACTAACAAAAGTCAGAATTGCTCATATGTTGTGCTGCTTTGAAGAAGCTGTTGAACATTATTTGATTAAAAAACAACAACAAAACACCCACAAAACCTTTTGGCAGTAATGTAAAGAATGTGCTTATGCTGGAAATGATAGAGCCAAGTAAATTCCTCTTTCCCATGTGGTTTGAGAGATGTAGAATCTCAGGGCTTGAGCTGTTGCTTCAAAATAAAAAGAAAACAGAAATATTACGTCGCAGAACATGGACTTCTTTCCTTGTTTTCTGTTTTTTAGGTGGATAGTTTATCGACAAACTATGGATAGTCCTGAATGTTTCAGTGCAACCCACTTCCAGCGTTACCTCTCCAGTGTCCTGGAGGCTCAGCAAAACCACGGCGTCCGTCAGTCCGCTTATGCTAAAAAGAAGAAGCGTCTCTTAGTGGTCCTGCAAGGGTAAATGTTTGAATCAGTGTGAACTGTGGCGTAGAATAAAGGATTTTCTGTTCCCTTCCTATTTCCAAGGCATCGTTAAGCTTTCCCATCGCTCTGTAGCAGTAATATTTCTGCGCTGAAGTGCGGTACTGTGTTCATTCTGTCCTACGTGTGTGCCAAACTCAGCTTTTCTGCAACCTGTTAACTTTATCGCTTGTTAATCCGCTGAAACAGGGATGTCCATAGTCCTCCTTCCCTCAAAAGGAAGGGTGGGCTGCATTTGGATCATCTTTCCTATTTAGGAGATTGACTGTGGGGTTGGTTTTGGCTTCTCAGAAGAAATTCTCTTGCCCTTTCCAGCTGCATCTCGCACTTGTTAAGTGGCACTTTACTGGCGCAGCTGCGGGTGGTTTGGGTTTGGGTTTTTTCACACCCCCCCGCAGAGGTCCTAGACAAAGAGGTGTTTGCCCTTCGAAGGCTGGTGAGGCTTCTTCATGCTGGTTCTCTGTCTTTAAGGGCCACTGGAATACTGGTTGTCTGTCTTTAAAGCCATAGCTTTAGATGGGGGCGGTAGAGCAGAGACAGCTTGAGCTTGTGTGGCAAACTGCACTCCAGAGCTGCAGGTGAATATTACGGAATATTACCTGTTACAGCATTATCTTAATATTTAGAAGGAGTGTGGCATGTTGTAGTTCCTGTTAATACACAAATGAATTATTGCTGCTTTTCCCTGACAGACCTGTATTTTGCTGATAACAAAGCAAAAAAACCATGGAAGGAATGCACAACTCCTTCCAGAATGCAGAAAAGTGCGGGTAGTTGAGTGTTGGTATAGACAGCTCGAAAGTAGCTGGAGTTCTCTAAAATAATCCCTTAACTTGGTGACTGACAGTACAGTTTTGAGAGAAGACTGTAACTGGCTGAGAAATAAACACCTGGAATAAAAACTCTGGTTCCCCTAAACTTTGCTGTCATGCAGAAGTATAATCCAGCAGTGGCTGGAGCACTGATAAAACCCAGACATATTAATTATAGAAGCACGCTTAAATTGGAATGCTGATAAGGGAGAGGTGTTGCTTTTTTAACAGCTTCGTTTACTTGAATCATACGTAGCACTGAATACGCCTGGCGGTAGGCACGACATGCTTGTATTATGTTATGCTTTTTGTGCTTCCTGAAAGCCAGACTTTTCAGTTGTTCAGTGCAACATATATACTGCTTTTATACATATATACAGTATACCACTTTTCTCTAGTTGTCAGTAATTTATTTCTGCTGTAACTTGCAGTCAGCTCAATTTGTCTGGAATTTGAACTGCTTTGTAACACTTTAGTAGGCTCTTTTTAGACATCTTCTTGCAAGCAATTGATTTCTTACTAGATGTTGAGAGGCGTCATTCGGTTTCTCTGAAACCATATCTCATTTTGTTTTCTTACAGATATACTGACGTTATTGATGTGGTACAGGCTCTGCAAACCCATCCTGACCCAGACGTGAGGTCAACTTTCATCATTGGGGCAGTTAATACTTGTGTAGAGCCGCTGAGCTGCTATATGGAACACAGGTATACGTTAAGATATTTTTACTTGTTTTAAAATAGCTATGTACGTTTCTGAGATCACTTTGATCATAATTGGAGGTATGTGGTGGTTAAATGCCATTGAACTGTCTTAAATCTCATAAAACTGCTAGGTAAGCCACCCTGAGTGAACTTTGAAGTGCTGTTTGGTTTATAACGGTGACTTTTGTAAAATCAGGACAGTCAGCTGTCCTGTCGTGTGTGCTTTTCGTACCGTCTTTGTATGACTGAAAATTGAGGCGTGCATCTCTGTTATTGGTTCTGTCACTGTTTTGAGCTATTAAATGAAGACTGCCCAGATCTAAAATACGGAACTTACGGGAAGCATTCCCAAATTTTGTTGGAGAGCATGACAAAGCACGGAAGCAGGAGCATTGCAAGGATTGCAATCTGATATCCTGGGTTACTGCAGAGGCAGGGTGGGGAGGAAACAGCAGCAGAGCCAAGTCGCTGACATTTTAAGGTAGTGTGGTATGGTTGCTGGTTCGCAGCGTACGTCTGTGCGCTGCACTTCAGCAGACGTGGAGCTAATTTCATTGACCTCTCCGTAAAAACTCTCATGCTTAAATTTCGCAGTTGTGCCTGGCAGCTGATTTGATAAAAGTTAAAGCCGTTGCAGTTTCCAGAGTTCGGAGCATGGCTGCTATTTTGTGATAAAACTCTGTGCATCACCGCTTCGAGGTGAACTGCCCGATCACTTCACGAAAGCGCATTCCTTAAACTTTGTAGCTGTCGTTCAAACACTAACCAACACGCTGCTTGTGCTTTGCACTAGTCAATAAATAGACATCACCTCACTGCTTCTTTTTGTCTCTGTGACAAAGATTGTAAATAAATGATAGAGACTGCATAAAATATTGGTGAATCGATGCTGCAGTGCTGTTTCCACTTGTTCTTTCCATAATTGTAAAAAAAGACAAGTTCCATTCCTAGGTTTTCCTTTAAACTTACTGAGGTGTTACTGGTCATGGTATTGAGTAGTATTTATAGCAGCAGTAGCCTGCAATCCTTTGACTAACATTGTTTGTCTCCTCAAGTGCAGTAGCAATTGAAGGAAGAGGCTTAGCCTATGCTTTAGACTATTTGTGTCTCGCTTTGAAGTTTCTTCTGATAAGAACTTACCAAGTAGCCACGTACTGCCAGTGACAAATCTTCCCGTTGGGAAGCTTTGGCGGTTTCACTGTGTGAACTGAGAAAAGTGATTTTAAAGTCTGACTTGAAACTGTTGCCGTCAAGACAATCAAGACCCTTTCCTGTCTCAGAGTTCGTTACCGTGAGATCTAGTTCTTTCACGAGCCTCGGATGAAGCTCTTCCCCATGTGGAATAGTAAGCCAGGGGAGAGGTAGATGAAGGGGAAAGGGTAAAGTACGGGTTTTCCTCTGGAGCTTTTCTAATCATCGCTTCTCTGACACAATACCAGAAATTGGTGTGCTATGTGCAGAAAGCATTATGTACACACGGCCTTTCCCTGAAGAGTTCCCACCATGTTTGGAAGGCACAATTCTTTAGGGCAAGCTTAAAATTCCTGGTGTTTAAATAGGAATTAAAGTAATAGTGAAGCCTTTCTGATTTTCTGGAGCACAGAAACAGTTTGTGTGGTGGGAATTAGCTCTTAAATCCATTAAACAGTTAAAACCATCTACAAAACTAATTTCTGGGGAAAGAACTCCTGAAAGACATAAACTATAGGGGTGTTCCAGTTACAGGGATTGAAGAAAGGACACTTGAAAATGGGTTGGATAGTAAGACTGTAGCTGTCAGCGTCTAAATTAATGTAAATGCTTTACTTAAATAATAGTATCCATTCTTGATATAAAAACTTCTGCTTTTTTTAGGCTTCTTTTCCCCAAGTTCTTGGACCAGTGCTCACAAGGTATGTGTCACTTCTCTTGACTTTGAGCTGTACAGAACAAGTAGCTGAGCCATATGGCCAAATAATAGAGTGTAAATGTAATAGTCAAAGGATCGTGATGAGCTCTTGGAGGTAAGAACCATCTGGGCAGAACAGACAGTCTCTCTCTGCCTACGTTGTTAAACACCAAAGGCACCTGCAGAGGATAGAAGAACACGGAGCGTTGTGCGTTCTGCTTGTCCCCGTCTGGAGGATGGGTTTCCTAACACCACGAGTTAACCTGCTTACCTTGAACTGTTGTAACTTGTGCTGTGTTGTAAATCTAGGAGTAAAATGGATTGCAATTTGAGTTTCATCCTCTTTTGGGGAGGCATAAGGAAATGGAGCTCTCCTTTCTGCTATTTTAGAAAAGGAAGAATGAGCTGGTTACTTGTTCCCCATACCTTCCTCTTAATGTGGTGTGGAGGATCCTTGCAGGGTTCGTTTGACGTTGCAGCAGACAGAAAAGCTCATTTGCAAAAGAATTGTTTCTTACCTTTATTATATTCAGTTTTATATCCTGACTGAAATGCATCGTCCTCCTTGTCAGGCTTGGACCGTAGAGCAGCTGGTGGCGTGAATGGGATTCCATCCTTCCTGACCTCCCATCAAAGAAATTCTTTCACTTTCAAGAGCAGAAGCAAATTTGGCTGTAGCACCTTCACGCTGGTTTTTAACAGCTATAGAGCTGATTTACACCATTAGGACCAGTGCATGTGGTGTGTGCATGCATAAGAACAGATGTCTCCAGTCAGATAATCTTTATTTTAGGCAGATTGTAAGCTCAGCCTGAAATTGGGTAGGCCAATGACAGTTGAGATTTTTCTTTTTAAAGTCGCTGTCGGACTGCAGTTACTGCAGCACGGCTTTCTGATCTTGCCTTCGTGTCTTCCCAAGTGAACTGCAGGACTGTAACTTCTGTGTTTGTATTTAAATGCAGTTGTCAGGTCTTTTGTGGCTGTTTAGACTCTGTAGAGCCCCCTTTTGCTGCCAGAATTATGCTACCTCTTATGTGTGAAGGGAGCCCGAAAAAAATGAAGTCGTGAACAAGCTAGGATGTATGTGGGTGCTATTATATAAATCAGTATTTTATTCTTATTTGGAGAAAAGTGTTGGTGCTACCAACAGGTAACTATCATGATCATAGCCACGGGTGAATTTAAAGAGAGCTGGAGAATGTTAAGAGAAAAGAATATAATGAAGTAGCAATAACTACTGAGAAGTTGAGAGTGCAAGCACGCCTTTTTGTTTTACGACAGAATAAAAAGAAATACTCCAAGCTGTCTCTTTTTCAAGTGCGGTTGTACAGACCTGATTGGGTGAGAATCTGTCATTGTTCAAAGAGGAACTAGAAAATGCTTAGGACAAGCATAGTTAATTTTCCTATGGTCCAAACATGAAAGAAGGAAAAATACTGGAGCTTAGAAGAATGTTCTTCTGGCATTGAATTACTTCTGCGTGTTGCAAGGTTTTGTCATCTAGTTTTCAGATACAAAATGTGACATTAGATAGCCTAGAGGTCTACTTGGGTAAAGCAAATTGTTTCCCATGAATAGGGGCAATTTTTGTGTAAAAAGTTTGAAGAGGAAAAGTATGCTTTGAACTGAGATGTGGTACGCTCTTCAGCTTTCCAGGCGAACGCAGGATTGTATCACATGTACGGCAGAGAAGTTACTTCTGTGTAACTGAGAATTCAGTGCTGGTGCAACAGCAATATGTAATGAGACATTCACTTTGAGAGGTACTTGTCCTGCTGTTCTTGTGTGTCGTGCACCCCAGTATCACTGTGGGTGTTTCTGCACCACCAGTGGGCCAAGACAGTGTCGTACTGGGCGTTGTACAAATCTGAAGACTGAAACTTGGCAACGCGGGTGTTAGGAAAGACGAGTATTAGAATTAATTAGACCTTTGGATGCTTACCTGGGCCTCATAACTACCTTGCAAATTTTGGGAGTGAGCAGGGTTAGGTTTTTGCTGCTGCTTACCAGGTCTCTTCTACAGGCTTTCCCTGCGATGAAGGGGCACCTGGGCCCGTTAGCAACGTGACATCGCTTTACAGGGGCGACGCTTTCCGTTTGGAAAGCCACAAGACTGACAGAAATGGGTGAGGATGGGGGAGAACTGGTAAAGCCTTGAGCAGGGTGATCGACGTTGGCAGTTTTGCTTTGTCTCTCCCTGGCGTACTTGTTGGAACTTTTAAAGAAAATCTTGCCGCCATCTGTATGCTGGAACTTCTTGGTGCCTTGATCCTTCCAAATATGCTCTTTCTTTTTCCCCCCCCTTCCCCTCCTTTCTTGCATAGAAGCTGTAAGATGACACCTTACTGGTCTGAGGGCATGTTGGCATCTCTTGGGTCGTATTCTCTTGTGTTATATATGAAGTTGTTCTACAGATTAAGACATCACCATTGTTCAGTATGGTCATTGTACGTTTGGGAGCAAAGAGGATCCATTATTTTTGTGAAGCATTTGTATTTTTAATCTATCCCTCCTGTTTCTTTGCTGCTTCTATTGAACATGCTATTCCCCAGGCTGCAAAGATTTTTTTTTTTCTTTAGATGAGTGTATAAATAAAGAATTAAACAAAACTGGGTGGTCTTCAAAATGCAATAGAAACAAAGATGGCAGTGACAGTTCAAGTAGAAAAGGTCAAAAGTATTTATTACTACAACTGTGTAGGCATCTTCCAGTTCTCAGAAAGCTATTTTTCTCCTTGATTACGCTACCTGCCGGACAATTCAGCAGCGGGGACTGCTGCCTGCTAACACAGGGCCAATTTTTCTGGCACCTACAAGATTTATGCATAGGTGTGTGCAGAGCCAAAGCTTGCAGGTTCCCCAGGCTCTGAGCAGTCTTCTGTTAATTCCAAGGGTGCGTGGGAGTTCACAAGCAAGCGTGACAGCTAGTGCCCGAAAGCTGTTCCCCTTAGACAAGCGCAAATGAAGCGGAGATTGATGGAGAAGGAGCATGGGCGATGAGCATGAGACGAGATGCATAGGTTTCTGATTTGCTGGATATTTTATTCCTTGAGTCTTTTTCTTAGCTTTAAGCTTTGCCAGCTTTGTCCTTGACGATTACCTGTTCTCTCCAGGGCATAGTGCTTCGAACTGTAACGTCTGCTTCACAACACTGATGTTGTACAGCCTTTTTATTGTTCTGTGCCAGCCTCACAGATAGTATAACTATGTTTTTAATTAATCTTGACTTTTAAATTAATATCAAGTTTGGGGATATTAAGAAGAAAAACTCACTGTGTGCAGCACACTTACAATGTGGTGCTTGTTGATTAGCTTATTCATACTTTTCGTCTTAATTGCGTGATCTACATAATAATTTCAAGCATGCGAGTGACTTAAATTTCTGAGGGTGCTCGCTGTTCTCCCCCCCCCCGCCATCTCTCTCAAAAGCAACTCCGTATTGGAGAAGACGGAGAGGTTTCTGAAATTGGAGTGGAAACTGCTGTGGGAGATTAAAAAAAAAACAAGAGAAATGGTAATGATGGAAATTTGCTGAGGCTGTTATTAAAATTCTAGCTCGAAAGGGTCAGTGATGCAAGTAACAGCGACTGGGAGCGCATGGTGTCATGTACGTACCCCAGAAATACTTGGTATAGGAATTTCTGCAAGGATTAGTGGACTTTAATGGTTTCTTTAAAGATCATGAATAACTGTAGGCAGCAGATCATGGTGTGAGCTTCATGACATGTTCTGCTTTATATAGTGATGAGGTGGGGGCAGGGGGAGAGGCATCCTGGTTCGGTTGTTCGTGGGTATGCGAGAGTTTGCTGTTCTGTCTTGCACTTGACTTGTGGTAACAGGGAAACGTCTGAAATGAGCTGCCCACCTTGAGCAAAGGACATCCTAGGGACGCCCGGAGAGTTGGCACTGCCATCGCTGTGAGGAGCTGGGCTGGAATTCGTTCTGATGTAACACCCGCGGGATGTAATTGGAAAGCAGAAATCCCGTAACACTGAAATTAGTCGGATGCTAAGTGTGATGTGTCACCTGGCAATTTTTCCTTAATGAGATCCCTTCCAGTGCCCCAGGCTTGACGGCTGTGGTCGTTGCTGTCTTATTTCTGGTTGCCTGCGGAGGCATCTGCAGGAGCAGCAGTTGGTTCTCATTTCACACAAAACTTGTCTTATACCTGGCAAGACGGCAGGTATGACATGAAGACGGCGTTGCCATCTTCAAATCTCGGAAAGCTTTCGCTTAAGAGGAGGAACCGTTTCGTCAGTGAAATTGGTGGCGCTAGGTGCAAGGTGAAGGGATGCTGACAAGTCTGAAAAAGGAATTGCTCTTCTGGTGACACTACTGAGTCTTTGGGAATTGGGTCATGGGACAAATAGTTATCTCGTTGTTTTTCTCTGTTATCTTTTTTTGATGCCTTGTGGGTTCAGACTTACTGTCTGAATACCATATCAGGGACTGTCTTTAAAAAGAGAGAACAAAAAAACCCCAAATCCTTCTCTTGTTTTTGGAAGTGGCAACTGTCAGAGTCCAAAATACTGGATTTCAGCTGTTCAGCCTGTCTTTCTGCACGTTGAGTTTCCACGAGGCTTTAAACATTAGTGTTTTTATTAAACTGGTCCTTCTCAAATTGATTCTCATCTGAATTTATTCTTCTAATTAATTGATTCTTTTGCATAGCTGAGTCTAAATGACTTCTGTTACACGGCCTGTCTAACTGAAAGAAAAATGTCTTGACCTGGTATAGCTGTGTTTTGGCAAAGCACGCCTTCCTCGTTAGTCGAGTCATCTTCAGTGACTGGTGCTGTACTGGTAGGCTTGTGGTTTTAGTTTTGGTTTGGTTTGGTTTTTTGTTTTGGCAAGATTGTTTTCACTTGAATCCCAAGAACCCACAGATTACAACATCCCGCCTCTTTCCCCTCGAGTCGTTCCAGTGGCTCAAAAGGGTTGTCTCCTTCAGGAGGTACCGTTGTTGCGCGTCTACAGGTTGTGACAGAACGGACTTATGAGCTCGCTGCCCTCTTGATTCAGTTGCAAAATACATACTTAATGATAATTCTGGGTTTAGTTATTCCACAGTGTTCATGTGTGAAGTTAGCTGGGCTTCTGGGTTTTTGCTGGGCGGGCAAGAGATGAAAGGTTCCTTGTTTGGTTTTGTTGGGTTTTTTTCCTTAGAAATGTTAGTGTAGTGAGATGGAAGGAAAATGAGAGAGGAACGGCTGTTATATTACTTCATCATTCACTAGTCACTGTTGCATACCTGATTTCTGTAAACTATCCTCCGATTTCCTTACGCAGGACTAGTGAGTAACGTGGTTTTCACAAGTCATGCGACAGAGCAGAGGCATCCGCTCCTTATGCACCTGCAGGGCCTCATCCGAGCGGCCAACCCTGCTGTGGCGTTCATCCTGGCGGAGCACGGAGTCGTGACGAGGTAACGTTCGTGGCTGCCCAGGATCGGTCACTTAGGGCAGATGCGACGCGTGCGCTTAGGAACTCGTGTTCTCTTGTTTTACTCCGGTAACTTACACAAAGGAGATGCAGATTTTTCTTTATTGCTTCTCCTGCAAAAGGCATCTTCCCTTTACCGTATATGTGGTCATATAAATACAGGGATTAGGAAATGTACGTTTTTGTTTGCAGAGTGTGACTTACGTCACTGTTACTGCAATACTAAGGGAAAAATACTGTTGGTTTTGCTGTGAATAACACATTCTGTTTTACGGAATTAGCATACAGATAGTGGCCATTTTATTGAACTTGTAGAATTAAAAATCTTCATCTTTATCTCTTTATAGGAATGAGGACATTGAGTTAATTCTCTCAGAAAGCAGTTTTTCAAATCCTCAGATGATGAGAGCTCGGTATTTAATGTATCCTGGCTGGCAAGTATCTAGATTGAGAAATATTAAAACTATTTTTCTAATTAACTTGAAGATTAAAAAGTCTCACTAACTTAATTTATATTTTTCTCCAAGACTACTCATTTGGAACAGGCAATAGCTTTGTAAATCATTTTAAAAAAGATTGCTGATGAGTATTCTTAGTAGATAGACGATTGCTGTCCTTTTATGGGGAAAAGGATCCTTTCTGGACACCATTTAAATCAACGTCAAGATTGCTGTTGCTTTTCGGAAGAATAGAAAAGAACCCTCTGGGAATAAGCTGGGAAGGATTGGGATGGGTGAGGTCAATAATGACGAGAGTAATTTCATTCTGACAGCTCTTCGGCCTTACTGGAATGAACTTGCTGTGTCAGTCTAGCTATTAGCAGAGCAATTATTCATAAAAACCCAGCAACCTTATTGACAGTCTTGGCAGAGGCTGAGGGCACAATAAGACATGGTACCAAGCTTTCTGTTTAATACTGAGCGATATTTTTTTCATGGTTCTTTACACGTCTTGTGGCAGTTATCTGCGCTGCACCTATTTGGCAGAAAATGTGAACCTGTCAACCACTATAACTCCCGGCTGACTGTTCCCTGGTTAGGTTTATAGTGCTGGCAGCAGGATTAATTTACCGTACCTTGCCCGTCCTGTATGTACGTGTATCTCTTTATTCCTAATTCTTGCTCTAAATTGGACGCAAGGAAGGCTCTTGAAGTAAACTGACACAAAGTTTGGGATGTCAGAGCTGCTTGTGGATTGCGTGGAGCCAAAGGGAGAGAGAGAAAGCAGGAAAAGAAAGTCTGAATAGATTAACAGTTGTCCAAAAGAAACGACTTTGGATGACTGTTAATCTATTTGTTGATAGCATGCAAGAATAGTATGTAGATAGTATGTAAGGAAAGGAAAAATGGCAGCAGGAGGAGCATCAAAAGGAATCCTGAGCGCTTTGAACAAGCCAATACCGTTAATATCACACTTTCGTGAACGTCTTGGAGAAGAAAGCTTAGTGGTGTTCCTCCACTGAGCAAGGCTTACCTGGGGTGAAATAATAGATGTTCTTTTGAAGAAGTTTGTTAGACGAAAAGCCCAAGCGCGTGTGCTTTTGTGCGTTGAAGGTGTGTGTGTGCTTTTGTCTTAAGGTACGAAGGCAAATACGGAGCTGGGTCTGTCTTCCCTCCGATGGTTCAGATCTGCGTGTGGTTCAGTCGTCCTCTAGAAAAAACACGATTTGTGACCAAATGTAAAGGTACAAGTGGGCTTTGTCTGACTGGAGTTAAATCCGAGTTTGAAATGCTGAGGAATAGAGGGGAAGGCAGGCACTGACGTAGCACAGTTATTTAATTACTGCCGCAGTAAACTTTTAATTGAAAATTCAGCTTTCCTTCCTTAAAGTACATTAAATTATCTTCTTTAGTGTCTGCTCTGGAAAATTGACCCGTGATTTTTGTTCAGATGAAAATCTAATTTAATTGTTGGTTTCTAGAGACCGAGACACTTTATCTTCGTATGTTTGCTTTTTATTTTATGTTTAATTTTATTTGGTCGTGTCGAAATACAGTTAATAAGTGACCATCAGCTTCTACTTTTTATGCCAAATAATTCTGTGTAGTTACTAGAAAATAGGCTAAACTCTGTGTTAGGCTGCTAGAGTAGATATATAATCATGCCTTTCCTTCTTTCCTTAGCAAAACAGTGTTAAGGAGCACCATTTTACTTTCCACACACACTGTAAGCGTTCGTTATGCCAAACACATGTTATTTCCCACCTGTCCCATAGCAAAGAAATGAGAACATATAGAAATGTTATGTAGTGGGGCTCGGGGGGACACTGCAGCTTTTCCCCCTGAAGCACTAGGATGTGGGTTAGAGACCTGTAGGATAGGTCTGACCAGAAGCTACACCGAGGAGGAGAAAAATACGTGAGATAATCTATTTGTCTTCTGTTTCAAACAGCGATTAAGTCATTGCTCAAGCCAAGTCCTTTTTCTGGAAACATTTATCACATCATGGGCAAAGTTAAGTTTTCAGGTAAGGGCAAATTACTGCTTGTGCCTCGTCTTGTGATTGCTGCATGTGTTCGTGTTTGACAACTACTGTATTCTGTCCCCACCAACGTGGTGATGTTAGATTAGCAGTTACCAGGACGTTTCTTTCTTTGTCTTCTCCTCGTTAGATTCTGATAAAGTGATTGAAGTCTGTCACAACACCTCATCTAATTCACTAAGCCTTGTGCCTGTTCAGGAGGGGCCAACTCCTCCCGATTCAAGGAGCGATAACAGGGATTGCAGCAGTCAACAGGAGTGCTTCCTTGTGTTCATTGGCTGCTCTCTTAAGGAAGAGGATATAAAAGACTGGCTCAGAGAAACTGCAAAACAGGTTCGTGGGCATGTTTACCTTTGTTCTGCATGATTTGCTTGGTATTTCTCGGCAACAAAAGGAGGAATCGGAGTGTCTCAATGAAACTTCTTTTTGGTTTTTAATCTCCTTTCTCTTCTACCAAGGTATTAGCACTCCGGGGTGTAAGTGTATTCCAGACAGAGGACTAATAGTTTGCAAACGTGTATTGTAATTTGTGTGTTGTTTTAGTAACTGCTGCAGCATATTCATGGATTGATCTGCTCTTGAACGGCGAAGCAAATGGAGTATGTCCAGAATAAACACAACGTGATTTAGCCGAGACGTGATTGCCAAAAGCTGAAGCGTAGTATGAAATAAATCTTCTTGAAGTACCTGAACGCTGCAAAGCTGAAAACTTGTTTTGATTCACTAAATTAAACCTCCTTGGAAGTAATCCACCGAAATGGAGGGTGTAGGTGTTGGGTTTGGGTTTTTTTTTTTCCATTTTGCCTTGCTTAGTTTGTCAGGCGTGCAGCTACGTAAAGGCTTTGTGTATTTCTGCATGGCTGATGCACCTCTGCAACAGGAGGTGGAGTCAGGACCAGGGAACGTGCACATCGTAAGAGGCCTAGAAGGCACGTTTTGCAGTGGTGGGAATTCACACAGTGACTGGCACGACCTGACGGGGAGTGCAGGACGAGATGGTTCACCACTACATAACCAAGTCGTACCAGCAGGCGTTACTTTTGCCAGGCGCTGCACACGAAAGTCTTGGGAAGTGAGTCTCGAGGCTTGATTCAGAAATACACTCGGACAGAAACAGTTCAACCATACAGATGGCATATTTTAGCACTCTAGTTGAAGCCTGTAGTTCCAACTGTGCCCTTTTGTGATGCCCATTTTGGAACATTTGTTAGTTAAAAATACTCATGGTTCCTTCTTTATGGCTTAGGCTTTTCGTAGTATCTCTAAAAGGTTGTGTAGGAAGGGGAAAAAAAGCTTCCTGCAGGCTGCTGTTGGAGCTGTTCCTAAGGATCTTCAGGGTCTCATCTCTGTTCTCCTAGCAGGTTGTGTTACTTGAGGGAAGTATACATTTTCTGTGATGATATCTCGTGCTCTGTACATATCACATGGGTAATATATGGAGACAAATGCTTTTGACATGCAAGAGAGCACTCTGTGGAATACTATCTTAATTTTATGGAAGTTAAATGCTATCTCAAGTGTGAAGTGCTTTCTATTTGAGCCGTTCAAGACTACAGATAGTCTTTGTACAGTCTCACTAGTCACGGCTAATTTAGGGTTTCAGATAGTTCTGACGGTTACTGCATGAAAGAAATGAATTATAACACTTTTCAGACTAAAAACTAGGTGTTTTTTCTGTTCCTGTGCCAGTTTTCTTTGGGTTTTTTTTGCAGTAAAGGTGTATTTAAATTGTGTTGTTCAAAATACTTTTAGAATTTGTCATTTCTAGCAGTGCTTTATGTAAGATCACTTTATTTTTACTCTTGTTTTCAGAACATAGTTGCGAGTGCCTTCATATAATTGAATAATTCTGTATAGAAATTAATTTTTAAAATACATGCTTCTGAAATTGAGGAGTACTGTGCTGGGCTTGAGCATGATAACATGTGGTCATAGATTTCACTACTGTTACCCACATTTTCAAGAAAGAACTCTCTGTTTTGTGGTTTGGGGGTTTTTGTTTGGGGTTGGTTGGTTTGTTTGTTTTTAACGTGACTAAACTGTAGTATCACATTGTCACTCAGTAGATGTATAACTGGGTCCTAATTCTTTGTACAGAAACCTCAGAGGAAAGCCCTGAAAACCAGAGGAATGCTAACCCTTCAGGAAATAAAAAACATTCATGTAAGTAGAAGCAATTAATAGCAAGCCCCTCTTTTGGCTGGTTTCGGATTGAGAGCAGCCCTTGGTTGACGAGAAGCTCAGCATGACCCGGCAATGGGCGCTCACAGCCCAGAAAGCCAACGGCATCCTGGGCTGCATCCAGAGCAGCGTGGGCAGCAGGGCGAGGGAGGGGATTCTGCCCCTCTGCTCCGCTCTGGTGAGACCCCCCTGCAGGGCTGCGTCCAGCTCTGGGGGCACCAGCACAGGACAGACATGGAGCTTGTAGGAGCAAGTCCAGAGGAGGGCTACCAAGGTG